AGAGAGAGAGAGAGAGAGAGAGAGAGAGAGAGAGAGAGAGAGAGAGCCGACACCCATGTGTTCTATTTGAATAGAACACCCATCTGTTCGAAGAGAACATATGTGCGTACTATTCAAATAGAACATACGTGCGTACTATTTCAACGTACGTACTATTTGGATTTCGGGGGCCGACTTTGAGAAATGGACTTTTCCAGGAAAAGTTGAATAGTACATACGTGCGTTTTGTTCGGGGGAAGACTGTAGGCATCATCATCATTAGTATGATTATCTCACATTTTACATAGAATCATCAGAAGTTCATCATCATCATCATCGTTATCATTATCATCATATCAGGGACGCTGAGCCCGGTTCTCAGCAAGTTCGGTTCGGTCACTCCAGGTAGACTGTGAGGACTCCGGCCTCAATCCTCATATTGGTAATATCGAAAAAAAAAAAGAAGGAAAATAAAAACAAAAAAAGAGTGGTGTTGCGACGCCCATAACAGGGGCACACCCATGAACTGTCTTCGAAAGATACAGACCTGAGTTAAAATTTAAAAATCCAGATGAAGCAGAAGACTCAGTATGAGTAATCGATCGACCCATATCCATTATATGGGCCCAAATGGGTCCAAATCTGCATGTTACATAATTGCCTGAGAAGGTACCTTACCCCGCCCATGTGGCTGAATGAAACACAAGTAAAAAAAAAAATAAAAAAAAAAATACATGTAAGTAACAGACTAACAGTTAATAAATAAACAGAACATGAGTTCGAACTTCAATATGATCCCCTTTTCAAAATAAATAATCTCTCGGGAAGTTCAAGAATGTGAACGCAACAACAAGACGGAAATCGGATCGTGCATGTACAGAGGCAGAGCGGATTTTTTGTGACAGAATAGAGCCTATCTTTCAACCCCTATTCTGCAAGCAGAGCAGAGGTGAAAGATAGGCTCTATTCTAATAACTCCTATTCAAGTCCAGAGCTCAGTTGGCACAGCCCTGAACTGTTTGAAATACTGAGCCCAGTTCAAGTCCAGATGCAGCCGCAATGAACAGAATAAAATAATTCTGAACTACCTGGGGCTTCTCAATTTGGTAACTCGGTTATATCTCAAGGTTGTCTCCTTGTTTGGAAAAAAAGAGTGCTCACACACGTTTGATGAGTCCGATTGGGTCCTACTCTTGCAAAAGGACTGGTCAAGATAGCACAGCCTCTCTTCTGAAAGGATTCACGCTGCAGACACCCAGTCCCAGTCCCAGTCCCAGGGTCCCGACAAGTCCCAAGTCTTAGGGCCGTCCAGTAGGGTAGGCCGTAGGGGCTAGAGGCCAAAGTGTCGTAGGTCGGTCGGTACCAAAGCGTTGTAGGTCGGTAGGAGTCTGTCCGGTACCCGACAAGAAAAAGTTCAGAAGCGTCCAGTCCAGTCCGACAGTCCCAAGTCCAATTTTGCAGCATGTCCCAGGACAGTCCGGAAGCTACCGGACCGACAAAATGTTTGCGGCAGACAGGCCGCGGCCAACCGGTACCGGTCTGAAGCAGGCCAAGCCAAGCCAAGCCCAGCGAAGCCAAGTTCTATATTTAGCTGCTACAATGCAGCGGCTCATCACTTGTTCAGTTGCGAGATGCGGAAGCGCTGCTGCTGCTTGTGCGTTAAGGCAACTTGGGCACTGTGCGCCTGAAGAAGAAGAGGGCGCCTGTGAGATACTCCATAGCTAGGCTAGACG